AATTGGCGCCACGTAGCGAAAAGAAGAAACGACTGGCGCGCTGTTGTTAACTCGGCTATAATCGCGTAAGCGGTGTCTACGCCAATTAAGAAGAAGAAGTACACATTCAAATTTATTAAAATTATTTACACTAATTGTGTAGTTTTTAAGAAAATATATTTACTTTAAAAACTGTTTTGCACATTAAAAGAGATTTGTGGGTTTACATTTATGAAAATTAGCAGTGTTGCCATACTTTGTGTCCTGAAATTCAAAATGAACTATTGTTTCATATATTTATGTGGATTATATACCATTATAAATGGAAAAAACTTATTAAAGAATGCAAAGTTTGTCAGTATTTCTCTCCTTTTGACTAATACAGGGGTTCGATCGATGAGGGTTACTTTTTTTTTTTTTTTTTGAAGACCGGCCGAAGGTCGCCAGTACAGAAAGAAGTTCGACGCAACAGAACTATGAACACCCCGGTGTTGGATCCACCCGGGTTGTTTTTTATTTATTTATCAAATAACATAAGATACAACAACCATGTTAAACAGAAAATTTTTTGATAATATTTTCGAAACACAATATGTGGAAACACTGGTATTTGTCATGTCATGTAAATAAAAATTAAATAAGAGTGTATTGCATATATAATTGTGGAAATACAAATACAAATATCTCGTAAATTATATGTCGGGGAAGGGTATATGTGTATATATTTTTTAATCCGGAGATCATTCTCTTTCAGATTATATCCTCAAATCGTGGCGCCAAAAGAATGGTAATAAATAAATGCAATATATAAAATATTTATACATGGATACGTCCACACAAATTTCTTGTCAAAATTAATTATATTGACGCCACTTTAAATTTTTTTTTGCACGATGTTAAAAATTTAATTGTAACAAAAAATGAAGTGAGAAGAGCTAATAGCAGAAACAGGCAAAACGCYACTCCCTTCCTTCCTTTGCCTTCCTTAGCCATAGATAAATTGATCATAATCTCTTTTCTTGCTCTCTCGCTATAATTACACAACGAAATTAGTGTGAAATGAAATTTTATTGAACTCTGCGAACATATTTTGGCAAAATAAATGTTTATGTAAATTAATTAATGATTTTGCATTTTAGCATTTATATATGTATGCCTACGCCTAATCCTATCATCTAGGAGCCTCTTACTCCCTAGATATCCCTCCCTCTCCACATCGTCGTCGGAAATCCAATCGCTCCGCAGCAATGACATAATCAAACCCCTTCTTAACCTGAATGCAAAAGCACTCTGTATGACAATCAGGTACAGAGCGGGTACACCTAGTAAAACCTGCATCGCATCCGTTGAGACGGTGCGACATACAGGCAAACAAGCAAGCATCATACAACGCTGGATTGAGATAAGTTTTTGAGACCTCCAAACAGTCGTGGCTGTCTCCCACCAAATGCGGCGTATTTTGCCTACAGTTGCCTGCAGTCGCTTCTTCACGTACGCCAAGTGTGGAGTAAAACACATCCTTTCACTCATAGTCAACCCCAGATATTTGACTTGCGTCACATATCTGATGCKGACCCCATTCACACGGACAATCGGTGGACGAACCGGTGACAATCTGCCCTTAAGCAGCATTGTCACCGTATTTTCCCTCGATATGTCCACCCCCACACCTACACCCCAAGTATTCACGATCTCTAAGGGATCTCCTCCCGCGCGCTCTAACTCAGACCGCGAGCGACCTTCGACCATAAGAAGAATATCGTTTGCATACGCACAACACTTACAGAGTGGTTCGAGCAGCCCAAGCAGAGTGTCCATCATAAGGTTCCAAATATATGGACCGCAAATGGATCATAAGGTTCCAAATATATGGACCGCAGATGGAACATAAAACCAAGCATCTTCTAGACTGCATCCTTTCCGAAACCCAAACTGCCTATCCGACCACATACCCCGCGTTAGCTCCTGAAGCCGTTCCACCATGACTCTTTCCAGCACTTTTCCAAGTACTGGAAGGAGACTGATGCCTCGATAAGATCGAGGATCGCTCGATCACGACCGACCAGGTCTCCATAGGCTTCGGCATCACCAGTGCAATAGCTTCTAGCACAGACGCTGGAGGCCCAAAACTTCCCCTAAGGGCGTCTACCTCCCCGCGAAGTTGGGCTTTCTCGGTTATTACCGTCATCAAGAGCGCCTCATATTTTGAGACAAGCTCCAACAGCCCTTTCGCAGTCCCTACATCAAAAATCTTGGACTCAAAGACCAGCTCATTGAGCTCCCCAGTTATTCTTTTGGCAGCCGCAACATGGCTGACTGCCCCACCCCCAACAACAACAGCGCGAGTGCCCGCTTTCGCAGCGCCCTCCTTCCCGTCGCCTTTGACCACCGGCGGCGACGCTTCCGCTACCGGTCTCTCTCTCATTACGCGACGACCCCATACGTGCGCCCGCTTTCTCAGCGGTGGCCATGTTGGCACTCCCTCCACAACTACCGCTCCCTCCCTTACTCCCGTCCTCTAGACTCGGCGACCCCAAACGCGCCATACCACGCGGCGGAGACCTTACCGCTACCGTCATCTCCCCTTCACCACCCGACATGGAGTCATCCACGACTGTA